CGGTCCTCAAGGAAGACCCCAAAGCTGTGGAGAAGGCATTCGTGAAAAACCATCAGATCAATGGTTGCTTTGCATGTAAGCAAGGGCAGCCCTGGGGTGGTAGGAGCTGCGTGGAGGAGACAGTCTGAGGGGTTGACACCCAAATGACCATCTGTAACAGTTTGTGCAGTTTCACAAGAAAGTTATTATTTTTTAATAAAAATATCTCTGCGTTAACTATATAAACTAAAACTTTTTTTTTTTTGGTAAGCTCAGCTTACATGTATAAGCATACCTATAAGGGTAAAATCTTCCCTATTACTCTGGAACCTTTTGATGTGCTCTAAGGAGCCCTGGTGGTGAATGGCCAATACATTGGAAACTAACCACAACGACAGCAGTTTGAAACCACCAGCCGCTTCTCAGGAGAAAGATGAAGTTTCTGTCCTACAAAGGAGACTCCTTCCCATTCCTCATGCTACAGGCAACCCCCCAGTACAGGTGACGTGTGACTATTAAGGCCCTTGTGCATCAGGATGGTGGGCCCCATGGTAAGCTGGTCTACTTCTCTGCCTCCAGAGGGATGACATTACCAATACACACTCGTGCAGTGACCCCATCAAACTCCTATATATGGCTACACTTCCTGGTGCTAGGTCCTGAGGTTCAGAGACCCAGTTTACGCACATCAAGTGCCCACAGCGGGTCCTACTTCCCGGTGCCAGGTCCTGAGGTGTTGAGGGAGCCAGGTGACCCACACGCAGTTCCATAGAATGTTTTGATTCTCAGGGCCAGGGCCTGAGGTGTTGGGGGGTGGCTGTACTGCATTCTTTGGGCAGATAACCTTTCAGGGTCTCTGCTTTGTCTCCTGTTGTGGTTGGAGGATCCCTTCTGGATCTTGGCCTGATCTAACAGAGCAGGTGAAAACTCCAGGGGAGGTGAATTTATCAACTTCAGGCCCCCTGCATCCCTTTGACCCAGTATTGCCTGACAATTGCCTGCCAGCTCATCACTGGCTGTGCCCCCTTGGGTATCCATTCAGGAGCTCAGGGCAGATACCATGGCCGTTGGTGAAATCCTGAGCAATGCTGTACACGAGTCACCCCGTCACTATCCTTTGCTGTCCCTCCTGCCTCCTCAGCTCTTTCCCCGCCAACCTGGGCCCCGTGGTGTCTGCTTTTCTGGTGAATCCAGCAGCAGGTTCCTCGTCTGGTCGCCCTGTTCTGATGGGAGTTGTCGCCTCAACTTCCTGGCTTCCCAGCAGGGTGCTGCTTGAGAAACAAGTCAGCCTCTGAGGTTTGGGGCAAGCCCAGGTGTCCTGCTACAGGATTTCCCCCCACCCACCCCCACCCCAGAACCTTGTCCATTCTCCTCCACAGCTCTTTATGCTGTTGGCGAGCCCAGGGGATTCAGGGGCTACACACAGCTACCTGGACAAAGTGTTCAGGGCAAGGGCTCATGGGTTATGATCACCCATGCAGCCCTCAACTTGGGCCCAGTGGCTGCTTTGGCCAGAGCAGTTTCAAAGAGCAAGTCCCATCCGTGGAGGCTTGCATGGGCACCACTGTCCACAGTCGTGGCATGCCTCAGCCATGGTGTATCAGGTGTCTGCCGGCAGCCAACCCTTCTCTGTCCTGAATGGGAAGAGGCTGCTTCAATGGCACACCAGCCTATCCTGGGAGTCATCCTGATATGTCACTGGACCAAGCACATCTTGTGTCTCTTTCTTGGGGCAACAGGCTGGCAGGCAGGGCATTGACCTACTGCATGCCTGTGTGCCAGTTGGCCATCAGGGCTGTCTGTGTGCAATAGCTGATGACAGGTTGGGAAATGTCCTGTTGGCCCATCCGTTCATGGGCAGAACCGTGTGAAGGGGCATAGCCTCCCCGCCCCTGTTGGCGGTTTACTTGGTGCAGAGGTTTGTAAGTCACCTACAGCCATTTGTCTATGGACCAGGACTGATGCTCTGAGGGGCACTTTAGTTCCATCTGATTTTGCTGCATAGCCCAGCCAAAGCCATCCGCCCTGCTGCTTATACCGAATCTGTCCAGAGCTTCCACCTGCACACCCAACACCTTTGCTTTCTGCAAAGCCGGCTGCTGTCCATTTCCCCAGCCCCAAGAGGAACCTTTTATTCTTTTAAACCAATAGGTAGAGGGGTCTCAAGAGATAGCCCCAAAGGGGATGCCTACTGTGCAATCCCTCAAGATCCACAGTGGCCTGCACTTCTGTTGGCATCTGAGAGGTGAGGTTGGCTGGTACCTTTCAACCAGATGACCACAAAGATGTTTAGTGACATTCCCAGCCCGGGCACCCATTGAGGGCTCAGGGCCTCTTCTCCCCTCTGAAGGTGGGTGATTAGAGGCTCGAGACAATCCTGTAACAGAGAATCATCTTCAATAAGTAACATGACAACGTGAATATAATGAAAACAGTGGATAGTCGCATGCAAAGAAAGAAGTCAGGTCTCTAACAGCCACCTTATGGCAGGTAGTGGGGCTGGACAAATAGACCCTGCCCAGTACCACGAATGTCCACTGTTGGTAAAAATGAACTGACCCTGGACAGATGGGACTAGAGGAATGCTAAAGAACAAATTAACCATGGTGACATGGTGGGTTACACATGGAGCTACTAACTCCATGGTTAGCCGTTCGAACCCACCGGCCACTCCATGGGAGGCATATGAAGCTTTCTGCTCTCATAAAGATTCACAGCCTTGGAAACCCACAGGGGCATCTCTGTTCTGTCCTGTGTGTGGACTGGCTGTAAGTCTGAGTGGACTTAGTGGCAGTGAGTTTGGGATTTTTCTCTAACAGCGGAACATGTGCCCAGATCATGATTTCTAGCCTGGGTGTTATGGTCAGTCCTACTGTCACCACCTTTGCTTGCAGTTGGGGTTTTGTTCAAACTCCTAGATTGTCAGTTACCAAGGGGACAGCCACCTGGAGGAAGAGAAAGAGGAAGATGAAGACTGGTGGCTTGAAACCTCTTCCAAAACCAAGCCCACGACCACCGAGTTGATCATGTCTCATAGTAATCCTATACAGGGTATCCTACAAAATCTTTATGGGAGCTGACAGCCTTATATTTTTCCTTAGGAGTGGCCGGTGTTTTTGAACTGCTGACCTTGTTAGCAGCCCAAAGCTTATCCCAGAGCCCATCTGGAGTTTCTTAGGGTTTCCAAAGGTCAGAGTGTATTCTGGCCAACCAGATCTACCACGTTGTTTATTTTTGAAGAATGTTTGATCATTTCTACCTCGGGCCTCAAGTTCCCTTCAGGACCTTGGCCTACTTCTGCCCACAGCCCTGATATCTGGGGACTAGAGAGGTGCACCTGGAGGTGATGGACACTTTCTCAACAAGGATAACCTAGGGGTGGGTGGACAGGAGGACCCAAAGGTTTCCACTGTTTGCACAAGTTGTTCTCTTGTTGACGGTCTTCCCTGGAGGTCACTGAGTCCTCCAGTAAGCCTCAAGTCTTCTCCAGGGGCCTTCAGAAGGCTTCAGCCTGCCATCTCCTCCCCTGGCTCGTGGCCCTTTCCACCCAGCTCCCTTACTTGTGCCCAAGCCAGCTGCTCCCAGCTGGGGTAGCTGCTCTTGGAGGGTGGAGTCACTGGTAAGAGCTCGGATCTTATTTCTGCCACAAAAATTCACTCTCTGGTCCTGTCATCTTGTCTGGTGGGGCTAAGCTTTTTCACCGGCTTTGGTAGACACACCACACGCTAAGTGGGAAGCAAAACGGAAAGGGGGAAACAAAAACAAAAACAGGCAGGTGGCTTCCAGCCCTTACTTCCCCTCCCCATGCCACTCCGCTCACTCTCACTGCCCTCTTAGCCCAGGCAAGAGAGGGGCTGGCAGACCCAGCCAGGGTTCCAGCCTACAGGTGGGAGGAGGTGGCAGTGGCGGTGACTGGTGGAAAAGCCCCTTTGCCCGTGGGCTCCCCACTGAAGCACCATTCTCTACTTTGACGCAGCTGCATTTCTGCAACCTGCTTCAGAACATCAGTTGCGGCTCTACATAGGACTACCCCCCACCCCTTCCTCCTGCAGGACACTGACGTGTAGTCTCAAGACCAGCTGGACGTGGGAGGTCAGCAGCACTCCTCACAGGAATGGCCATTCCATATCGGCCAGTGCCGTCTTAACCTGTCTCCCACACTTACAAAGACTCACACTTTTCCACAACCACATAGTGCAGCTTGGCCTTTTCAGGGCGTCCTCCTATTCAGAGATCCACATGAACCCACTCTCCCCACCAGTAGATGCATGCAGGTCAGACTGTCCCCCGAGGAGGTTGCTGACCCCCAGGAGTGGCTGACCGCTGGAGGGTGAGTCAGACCTCCCATGTCAAGATTATGGACCTGGATTTTCCCCCGTGGACATTTCTGTGTCTCAGTCACATCTTCAGTCACCTTGCCTTGTTCAGCAATCACCAGGGCCATGGACTGATCACTCGAAATTTGCACAAGGAACAAAACAAAGAAGTTGGCAACTCTGTGATGATAATAGATGCGTTTTATTAAAGGGATACTTACTGAGGTCAAGCCCTGGGTTATGACCGGGCTAGACTCCAGTCTCCCTGATCCTCAGAAGAGGCAGGAACTTCAGAGCATTGGCCAACAAACACAACAGAGCCCCAGGGCTCCACAGCTCCAAGGCCATGCCTGCCAGGGCTACAGAGGAGTGATGCGAGCAAGTGGAAACGAGCCAGCATCACACAATATAGCGTGTAGCCATATTTGGATTCACACAAGTCCATTCTGTTCCAGTTTCAATACTTGACTAAATAAGGAGACGTTACTGCAGGAGTGCTTAAATTCACAGGACACGCTGCTTTGACGTAAATCATCCCCCCACATCCTATACTCCAACACAACCTCTCTGCCACCCACCTAGCATCCCCAGGATGTGCTACAGCTCCTTCATGTTGCCATGGAGATGGAGCCTCTACCTGTCATGTTACAGTTGGATGGTGGCACAGAGCCAAAGCTCCTTTCTCTGTGTGATGCTCGTGATTCATCAAGTTGCCAGTTTTGATCTTAGCCCAGAGAACTCTCCTGAGAGCTTCTGCCAGGCCCCCTTCACCTCCTTGTTCCTCAGGCTGTAGATCATGGGGTTCAGCATGGGTGTCAACACGGCATAGAAGACTGAGATCAGCTTCTCTTGGAGGACAGAGGGGCTGGAACCAGGCCGGATGTAAGTGAAAATGGTCATGCCGTAGCACAGGACCACCACCGTGAGATGAGAGGCACATGTGTGGAAGGCCTTCTTCCTTCCCTC